TTGGGATATGGTAGGGGTAGTGCGCACTGTACCGCCTCTCCTCCTGTCTGCTATCACAAAAGCGGTGTTCTGACTGTGACGGTGACTCGTCACGTCTAAATATATATATGTGTGTGTGTGTGTATATCTTTTCCTACAATTATCCCGTAGAAAAGTGGACACGTTTGTATGTATATTAAGTAATTGTATGCTCTTTGCCGTCCAAACATTATGTCCTTAGCATAATAAAGTGTATCTCTCTCTTGCACCTAAGGTAAAAAACCCATCGCCACTAACAAATCAAACTTTTCTTGAATTTGAAGTATGTTATACATTACATTTTTATGTCATCGAACATTTTTGGAGGGTAAAGTACAAGTACTAGTTTTTGAAGTATTTGAGAATAAAATATGTTTTTTAACATGGGCTGTGATAAGGTACAGCAATAACAGCTTTAAACACATACGTAACAAATCAAACTATTTTTATAAAAAATAGAGTACGAATCTTCCAAGTTTTTACTTTATTTTAGTCCTTTCAAATCATGGTGGTTTGGTACGAAAAGAAAATCAGTTTATTAATTAATATTTTCCCATTACGAACAGTATAACCTATAAGACTGTCATCATACGATAGAGGATGCACTTCACTCGCTTGATCAACTCGGTCCACGGATTGTCTGCCTTAACCTTTACTTTCTCCCACTTCTCTGTCAATTTACACAAATCGATACCCTCTCTCATACTGACAAAGTGACGAAAAAAAAAGGTCGCACAACCCTTGTATCTTACAATCTCCTTACTTTCCATCCCCCGTATATTTCTATCAAGTTATGACATAAAAAGTAGTAAAATTACCAAATTTATGGTACAAAATATTTAATAATAAATTTAGTTAAATCAAAACAACTTTAGCGGAGGATTGTTTTGGCAAGTTGCATATACTTCAAAATTTAGAAATTCAAAGTGATCAGTGATCCGTTAGGGGCGAAGTGTGAGAAAATAAATAAATACAAGTAAAGTGTATTTAAATTTTCTTGCGTTGATTTATTAATGCGCAACGTTTCGCTGACAATATGCGTCAGCCTCATCAGGCTACAAAATTAAAATTAATAACACACAATGAGTGATTTGGAAGGCTCAAACACAAAGTACAATAAATTTTTATGTAAATTGTTACCGCAGGTACGCGAGAATTCGTAAGTTTGGTTGACTTACTCGTCACCTGTCGTGCTATCGACTGACAATAAATTACAGAAGCACTACAAACACCTACCCTCTCTGCAAAATTGGCATACCATACATTGAAAATAATTTTGAAAAAATTTCAACCATGTTAAAACCCTACAATATTCACAGTTACCCTCTTATTAACAATAAACTGCAGCATATCGTCCGCTTAGGAAAAGATACAACGAATAAACATAAACAGACAAATGTAGTATATAAGTTTTATTGTAAAAATTGTCCTGCGTCATATGTGGGTGAAACAAAGCGAGCGGCGGAGGTCCACATTGGTAAACATATGAAAAGTAAAAACTCTGATTCCGTTGGTTGTGCACACCAAATCAATTTTGACCATGAATTCGATTGGGATAACTTTGAAATCCTTGACAAAGAATCCAATCACAAAAAAAGAATTATTTCCGAAATGCTTTATATAAAACTCGACAAACACAACATCAATAGAAAGGAGGATGTGCTTTCCTTTAATAGAATATACCTACCTTTACTACGAAAGTTTAAATGTCCCGATCGAGTTCATCGCCCTTTACCCTACCTTTGCAGCTCCGCCTATCTAAGCGACGGCTTGTTGTTGTAATTTATTGTCAGTCGATAGCACGACAGGTGACGAGTAAGTCAACCAAACTTACGAATTTTTGCATACCTGCGGTAACAATTTACATCAAAATTTATTGTATTTTGTGTTTAAGCCTTCCAGATCACTCATTGTGTGTTTTTAATTTTAATTTTGTAGCCTGATGAGGCTGACGCATATTGTCAGCGAAACGTTGCGCATTAATAAATCAACGCAAGAAAATTTAAATACGCTTTACTTGTATTTATTTATTTTCTCACATTTCGCCCCCCACGGATCACTGATCACTTTGAATTTTCAAATTCACTGGAGGGCACTGATATATACTAATAAACCACTTCAAAATTTAATTATTTACCTACTTATTTTATTTCATTTTCACAAATGTCTAATTTTTTATTATTACTTTGTTCTAAAATTGTTGCCAGTCATACAGTTTTATTAGTTCTGTAATTTTGCTAGAATCTCAAAACTTGTAAAAAAATGTGCGACAGTTAGATCTGACATAACCGATAGGTTATGATAAAAGGTTACAACTCAGTAAGTCATTTCGATCGAACTGGATCTCATACTCAAAAGTCTATTTTTACTACGCAATCGATTTCAATGAGAGAGATATCTTGGTAATTATCAAGGAGAATCATAAAAAAATATCCAGTGCGCGCAGCTAACTGGATGCTACTGTTCATGGAAAAATGTGTTGAAATCGTATAATTTGGCTGTGTATGTTGGTTGGGAGAAGAGGGCTAGTGCTACAATATCTTCGAAACAAATTTTTATGGCATTCCTTACTCTGTAACGGCTCCTTTAACTACAATTACACTCCATTTTTTTAACTAGAATTTCCGACAAAATAGGGGCAGTGACCTTCAGAGCGAAAAATTTTTAAATAACAAGTACGCAGACGAATTAAAACATTTCAAAGGCTTATTAGAACAAACAAAATAACTAACTTAAGATTCTAGTGAAATAACAGATCACACAGATCTAAGAAATTTTTTCCTCAAATTTTGTTTTGTTTCAAATTCATGTAACTCATAGAGCAAAAAAAAATTTGCTTTTAATGCGCTCATAAAAAAATAGTATTTACACTACAAAACTTTAGAGAAAAAAATCATCTCCAAGTTAGTGGCTGATTTAATACAATTTTAAGTTAGCTGTTTTTTAATTGTTCAGCTTACTGCTCCCTTTACAGAGCAATCAATCTACCTAATTTAAACGTTTAAACATCAAACACAAACTGGTATTAAACAATCTTCAAAAGTAATGAAATTTTATATGTGCCTGAAGAAATTGTAACAAACACATACTTACCATAAGACATGGATAATTTTAAAGTCCTTCATGAAGTCTAACGAAAGCCATAGTACTCGCATTTCATAAACGTACACAAAAACATGTAACCAATTATTAAAAATTGAAGTCAACGATTGTCAACAACATGAATGATCTATTATTGCGGAGGAAGAAAAATGATTAAATATTAACAAGATATTTTATTGAAACTCAACTGTGTAGTAAGTTACGATTGTACGGAGAAAGGAACCAAGCAACAATAGTTATTCCATTGTTTTTTTATTTTCGTTTAGTGTTTGGTTCAAAATTACAGTTATCATGCTATTTTAATACAATCAATTTTGTTTGAAATTTACTGTTATAGAAAGTTCAAGAATAAATTTAAGAACAATCATGTCAAACAATACGAAGGTACGATGCTGTTTGGAAACCAACAGTTTTAAAATATGTTTTAACTGAATATTATAACCTTACACTATAACACATGCAATAGCTTGCTGAATTGTAACTAATAACGTGATTTTTCAGGAACTGAGCGCATGTGGTGTTTGGAGAGCATGCAACAAAATTCGAGCTGCTGTAGGACGGATTCATATTAATTTTTGGGACTATTTTATACCTCTTGATACTCAGAACAATAACTTGATATCAGGTGGGAAAATATTACTTTTACGATTGTACTTTATCATCTCATCGACATGTTCAAGCTGTGCTCAATACATATGTTAAGATTACTTATTTACTATGTAATGAAACAAATTGTTATTTAAACCTATTTTTCAAATGAACTGTTTGAATTTTTTTTTTTGGTCTTATTGTTTGAGATTGAAGACAAAAGCAATTGACTCCATGGCTACTTTCCCTCAGTCAGTCACTAAAGTAATAAAACATATTTTAACTTTCTTATCAAACAAAATGTCTTGCATAAAACATCGTATTATACATTTTACTTCTATCTTACAATAGCTTTAGACAATCTTGTTCTTTCAGAATCTTGTTTTATCAACGTTTTGTCGGGGCCCTTGGGAATTTTAATTGGACTTTCAAACCAAGAAGTTTGCGAAATCGCTGACTATTTTCGCACTCAAGATGGACGGATTTCTTATACGCAATTCTGTACTACTATACACGAAAATAGTAAGAATTTACAAACTATAACTATTGGTTAAGTTACTACTACTGCAATTTTTAACTAAACTTTCAATTAATCAATACTAATATAAGTAAAAAAGTATCGGACGTTTCAAACATTTAGTATTAAACAGGAAAAGCGTTTACTTTCATTATAAATCATATTGTCTCATGTAAATTAAGATCCCGATTTTGCTGATTTTCTTCAAATCAGTGGGCAAGAATGGGAAGACCCACTTCAAACTAATTGTCTCAGTCCTTCCGAGCAAAGAAGATTAGAAATCGTAATAACAAACATAGTGTCTCTTATCAATCGACGGAAACTCTCATTACGTCCTTATTTTCAAGATTATGAATTGGTATTCAAACTTTAAGTTACATAAAATAATCTGCATTTGTTAACACTTTTTATTTTCGTTAATTGATAGATATCAAAAAATTGTGGAGTGGTGACGTTTGCTCATTTTGCAAGAGTTTTACACTTCTTGAATATTACTTTGGCCCCTGAAGAAATGAATTTACTTTTAAAAAAATTTGCAAAAGATAGTTATACAGTAAACTATGTTGCCTTTATACAAGTTGTCGAAGAAATTCAGGCCTTTTTTGAGAAAAAAGGTCTTTTTGACAAAGGAGGAGTAAGTACTTATATATTTAAAAATTAAAATAAATACATTTTTTTCAATAATCTTTTTTACTAACTACATAATATAGAAACTCAAAAAATATTTGATTAGAAAAATAAAACAATTCACTAATTTGTAATAACGTTCACCCTCTTCAATAGTTAATCATTAATATCGTTCGAAATAATGCAAGTTGGAGTATAATACAGTTCTTTTTTTTTTAACTAATTCATGTTTACTTTTTAAATGTCATTTTAAGATAAAACTAAACATATTTTTTTCATAAAAATAAAAGAAAAAGCACGTTTTATAAGAATGGGCCCAGCTCCAAAAAAACAACTAGTGAGTGGTCAAAATCTATAATAATTAATTACTTTCGCTTAAAAAACAATTTTTACAATACCATTACTTTCCATTCTTAATTACTTTGAAAAACTTATTTTATTTTAACTTTTGAACTTCCATCCAATTTTAACTATACAAGACTAGTTATACTTCTCTAACGATTTCAGAAGTGGTGTTTCCTGAAATTTAGTAAAAAAATTAGCGCTTAAAAATTTTGGTAAGATTTTATTTTAGCTTAATAAATAACCCCTAACTGGAATCGTTTGAGTAGTAATAGAAAATTTTTTGAGACCCAGTTACAGAAGATGGATAAAATAATTTATTTAGTAATATTCTTTATCAGTTGTGTCAAATGTTGTTCACGCATTTGTTTTAAAACTTAAGTACTTCAATAAAATTATAGAACCAACAAAATTATATTATTGGTAACAATTATACGACAAAGTAATAACAACAAATTAAACTCTTGTTAAAGTCAAAAATAATACAACAGCAAATTATTAAATTTCCATGAATGAGAGTCACCAACACAATCACCTCTAAAATGTTTTTGATTTTACCGAATTTGTATCAAACATTTATATCATAAATTTGACAATGTTTCTATTATTTTTTGTCGTAACTTAATACTTTTTTAATTTTTTGAATAAAAAAATTTTTTTTTGAGAAAAAATAGAAAAAACTTTCAATATGTGTTACGTATACGACTTCTCATAAATGTAAACTGTCATATTTGAGTTTTAAAAGCAACAAACTGGTTTAACGTAAGGTTTTTTTACATTTTTAAGCCATTAGGCCAATAAGTAGGGACGAAAAGTGATATTATGTTACATCTATGACTTTAATTGCACACCAAAGTCTTCAGCATAATTTTAAATGTATTTATACAAAATTAAGAAAATAATAAATCAAAATTTCAAACATTAAGTAATATTGCTAAAAGTAATTTCTTAAAAAATGTTAAAGAGTATATTCTAATACTTCATCTTTAATTACTCAAATTCTTTATTGTTAATTATGTATCAAAAATTTTTTGTTTGAATTCGACAGTCTAATCAAAATTTTGTTTTATTTAATGAATGTATTTGTTACGAATTTCTAGAATTTATTAGAAAATTTTCCTGGAAGAATAATATCGGTTAAATTACCAAAATTACCGCGGCCAGAAGTCGGTAAAATAAGGACAGCTTGCGTATTTCCACAGCAACTTCATTTTTTACCAATCGACAGAAGTTCAAAAAGATTACGCAGTATTCACGAAGTTATGTTAAGGATCCAAGATCATGTTTACAAAAATCATATTCGAGTGGCCATGTATTTTCAGGTTATGTTGTTGACAAAGCTTTGAAGTATTAGGGCTTACAAACTGAAAGTAAAATACAACTTACGTAAATGAAGTTTAAAATAACATTTGCAAACAAGATATCTCTCTTTGGTAGTCTTCATGCACATTACCCCCTGTAGATAATCGGCAAGCTTTATTTGTAGAAAAAATAAAAAATTTACTATTTTTTTTTAATAAGAATGACCAATGGTCACATTAAAATTTAGTATACTTCGAATTGTTGAATCTGTTACGAAACAATCGCTTTGGAATGTGAAAATTAAAATTAAAATCATTTTAACACATTAATTTTAACATTTAAGTATGCCTATGAAAAAGTATTAGTAAGTGAAACTGAGAAACATTACTGTTTCGTGAGTCATCTACAATGTATAATTCGACATTAAAAAATTATAGAAATATAACTTTTGCTCACAGAAGCGGTCCTATTGTATATATATATATATGAGATACACTGAGAAAAAAATTTCGTCAATTCAAATAAATACATTTTTCGAGCCATCATTTTTCTAAATTTGACCGTAATGTTGAGCACACAAAATCCATAACAATTAATATGCGCAACAACATGAATGCTACATTTGTGTTATTTTGAATCCTTGTTACTAGTACGTATTTTATTTTACTTTTATGTTGTAAGCCTTACACGATTATATTTTAAGTATGTAGTAATGTGTGTTGAATATTCTAGACTATGATGGGTAATTTATTTTATATCTACAATAAGTATGTCATTGGAAAAAAAAAAAAAAATTTGCTTATTCATATTCTTTTATTTTTGCAGTACTAATTAATAATATTATTAATATTAGCAGGAGGTTTTTTGCTAGAAGTGTTTTGTAAAGATACCTTTACACATTATTGTATGTTAAAACCAAAACAGTCAATTAATTCATTTTTAATAGGAAGGAATACATCACCTTTTTCAGCAAAATAAACTTTTATTTACTTTAATTTTAGGATTTTGACACATTTAATGTTGGAAGAATATCTGAGCATCAGTTCCGTAGAGGTTTAGATGCTCTCTGTGATTCTGCTCTTGGTAAACTTTATATATCCAATGATGAAATACAAAATTTAATAAGCTTTTATAAAGACCCGAATGAGATGGAGAGAGTATGTTGGAGGACTTTTGAAGATGATGTTGAACAAGGTCAGTAATCAAGGGTGTTTGGTGTAGTTGGATAATAATTCATGAGCCCCCGTAAAAAGATTGAGTGTCACGAGAAATCATAAAATACATCTTTTATGGCACAGTATATGTTTTTGACTAAAAGAGTTATGTATGACTACCCTATAAATCATCTTTAGTTTCATTTCAATTGCTGTACACCGTTTCTAGATCACGAATATTTTACTGTATACATCAACTACATATATATCTCTCATCCCTTACACTATTCAATCAATTGTATGTGACTATTATGTTAATGTAGAAGTAGATGCTCGTAAACATTCTAATTATGTAACAAAATGTAATAATGCAAACAATTTGTGATTAAATTAAAATTTTTTTTTGTGAAAATACAAGATCAAGACGTGTCAATACTTATACTACCAACAAGTTATAAACAATTTTTAATGATACTACCAAAAAATCTACAACCATAACGCAAAACAATTTATAAGTGGTTATATTTTTTGACATTTCTGTACATGGGTTGCAAAAAAATGTCAGCAAAATTTAGTTTTCTTGAAATAGTGGCGAACGGTTGATATTTTTATTCGTACCATCGAAATCACGATAATATAGAATCTTACATTATTTCGTGGGGTGCTGGCAGGGCGCTCGCATAGCTAGTCTTGGCAGTGCGGGGTGGCTAGTATATTTTAAAGCTTATACATGATACAGGAATCATATATTTTGAGGCATTAAAATGTCATAATGGTTAAAAATCTTTTTTTTTAATCAAGACATAATACCAACAAAACAAAGTTACAAAATGTGATTAAAAAAAAATTTATTTTTTGCTACTTTTTCTTTCCGAAAGGACCAACAAATGAAATAGCATAACTCGATACTAATTTTACATTGTTAATATTTGCCATTAAAAATATCTAATATTAACAGCAATCGAATACAGTCGCATTTATAAAAACGTCAAACTTGCATAAGCGGTCTTAACCAATGACACCTGTACCTAATGAATAATTCACAACAGCTCTACAGTTTTTTAATCAGATTTAAAGACACTTATTTCTATGGTATCTTCAAATTGAATAAGTTTTGTTAATTGTCATTCGAATATTTAGTAAAACATGTTGTGGGGTCACAGTAGGTTCAGTGTCGATGACTTATACTTTTACTTATAGTGCATTCAATTTTAATATATCCAATCATAATTTACTTCGTACAAATATGTACTTGATATTAAAAAGAATGATTAGATGTTCTTCGTGTACCAAAAAATTATTTTCCAATCTGGGAAAATTTTTCTGAATAACTTATGTACGAAACAAAATTTTTAACTAAATAGACCAGGACGAGAGCAAATATTGTTCTCGTTATTTATTATTGGAAACAGACTTAAGTTTGCATAAAAATGTATACGATTGATAACACTGCTTTTGAATGTGTTTTTTTTTTTTTTTAATTCATTTTCACGCCCTAAGGGACTCATGCATAGCTATTATAATACCATATCAGTGTATTGAGCCATTCATTTCATTTAAAGAACAAATTAATTCTTGTATTACAGTGTTTACGGTGAAACATCTTCAGAAACATCCAAATTGTAAAGTAAGTGCTCCTCCTGACGAAATAAAGTCATTGCCTCGAAAAGGCTTTCAAGAATGGGATTGCACTGAGCTACCAAAAATAGTGCCAGACGAAACGATGGAAAAATTGTATGGTCAGACTATAAGAAAAATCATGCTGCGAACAAAAGAAAGACAATTTTCTTTAAGGCAGTACTTACGAGACCATGACAAGTAAGTCCAAACCTTGAATCGTGGGTAAAAATAATAAAAAATTAACTTAACGGCGTTAGCGTAAAAATTTTAAAAAGTAACCCATGACCTTCAGAAATGTATGAAATATATGAATATATGTTTACAAAGACAAATATTTGAGATAACTATTTACGAGGAATTCTCCTTTCATTTTTCAGTTTTCAGGGTACCCAAAAGTACCAAATTTAAATTTTAAGCTACACCTTTTTAATAATTTTTTTTTATTGGTGGTCACCTAAGTAGAGAAAAAAATTTCAAGAACACGCAATTCAGGTCTTAGCACATTTTTTTCAGCACTAAATATATAATAATTTCAATTTTCGATAAAAGCATGGACGTATTTTTATTTTTCGGACTAATAAACGTGAAAATGTCCTTACAAAAAATTGGCAAATCATCTTTCCCACCATTTTCGAGGTCGCTTTTTTCAATGGTGTAGTTTACATTTTGCTAATTTCCCGTTTGTTACCATATTTTTGCAAACTAAAATTAAGAAACACTAATTTTCCTTTTTTTACCAGATTTGCAGCATTTCTCGAATACTTCATAATATTTCCCTGTGGTAAAGTACGTAAATAGGGTCTGGGATGAAAAAATTTACTTTTTAGACCATATTTAGGCACCTTACTATAGGCAAATATTAAAGAGCGGCCTCCAAAATGGTGAGAAAGGTGTTTTGCCTATTTTTTATAAGGACATTTTCACGTTTATTAGTCCGAAAGGTAAAAATACGTCCATTGTTTTAACGAAAATTGATATTATTTTACATTTAATGCTGAAAAAAAATGTGCAAGAACCTGAATTGCGTGTTCTTGAATTTTTTTTCACTATTTTAAATTTGGCACTTTTGGGTACCCAGAAAAGTGAAAAATGAAAAGATAATTCCTCTTACACTTGACATTAAGGAGGTTTGGGAGTATCTTTCAGAGAAGTGGAGAACGGGGAGTCCCCCTGCCGACGCAGATGTACCCCATTTACCGCGTACATCCTCTTGCACTCTACAAACTTGAAACTGTACGATTGTAATTTTTTATTATAATGATAAGTGCCTGGCAAGGCTTAAGTTTTTTTGTCAAGAATCCTCCTTTTATACCAAGATATCTATAAGAATGTTTTTTTTCGTTCTAACACATTTTTAATATACTTTTATCTTCATTGAAAGGTAACCTAATGTTGTTCTATCATAAGAGACCGTATTAAATTAACGATTTCTTTTTCTTCAAAAATTAACCATTTTTTCTCGAAAATTTCCCTGGTACAAAATCTGAAAAAATTAATTAGCGCTCCTGATGTGCTCAAATACAACAAACATATTTGGCATGAATCTACATTTTTAACTTTTATCCAAATCTCCTTAAATGTATAGTTTACGACGTGGTGTTAAGGCTGGTATGGACCAGATTTGGGTGATTTACACGCATCATTTGAATTTATAACATCTGTGAATAATATTATAGAATATAGACGCTTACTAAAATCTAGCCATGATAGCGCAAATGCATGGTAAAAAAAATTTTAAACATTATACGATACGTGCTCATCACCCAAACTTGACATGCCTATAGGCTCCGTGCATAAAGACACCAGCCTGTGGCTGTTTGGTGAATCCGCGTGGTTACGAGAATACACAGGGAAGCATGGTTGCCTAAAGTCAATAATTTTTTCCATTATAATACCCAGATCTTTTCTAGTAATCCAATCATCTCAATTAGAATCTTTAACTCCGTAACTTAACGATGATACTTTTTTCAGCATGAGATTTTGCTTTAGTAAATTGTAAAAGAGACATATGTTCCTTTTTTGCTTGTACATGTGAGCTATATTGCATGTATTAGTACTACAACTAAGTCTTCTCTATATCCTATATCTCTCACATACTTTACTGACACATGCAACGTAGCTCACTCGTACAATCAACAAAGGAACATGTCTCTTTTACAACTTATTAAAGAAAAATCTCATGCTGAAAAAAATATCATCGTTAAATTAAGGAGTTAAAAATTCTAATTGAGATGATCAGACTATAAGGAAAGATTTTGATAATAATGAAAAAAATTATTGACCTTAGACAACCATGCTTCCCTGAGTATTCTCGTAAGCACGCGGACTCGCCAAACAGGCACAAGTTGGCGCTGGTGTCTTTGTGCATGGAGCTTATAGGTATGTGTCTGGCATGAGTATCATAAATACAATGTTATTAACAAAGGGTAAATAGAAGGTTTCCCAGACATTTTTTGCTTCACATTTTAACGTGGAGAGTGTATCTCTGTGAGCATCAATAAACGTTAAAATTATTATTGTTTTCAACTCTTTGTAGGTTATTGCACTGTTTTTTACTGAAAAAGACTATACTTTTTGCATCTAACATACAACCTTATTATATTATATCTAATGATTTTATAGACACAATAGAGGCCACATTTCTCGAGCACAACTTCGTCGAGTTTTAGCGATTGCAGCAATCCCCCTCACTCACGATGAAATTTTATCTTTGGAATATAAATTTAACGACGATCTTGGATTTCAATACTTAAATTTCTTAAATGATTTAACAAAGTCTTTGAATGACTCGTTGACTACTGAAAAAAAACTAGACCATACACCAGATATTTCCATGACTACCAATAGCCAAACCAAAGATAAAAACATAGACCTGATTCTGGCTAAAATAAGAGCTAAAGTTGTTTGCAACGGAATCAAGGTAAATGATATTCTAGTTACACATTTAATTAGTAAAACAATTTTTTTTTAAACACAAAATTTTAAGCTTGATATAAGTACTGAAAACTAAGTAGTTTTTAAAGATTAGTCACGTTGTGATACTCTTTACATATATTCTGAGTATGACCATCATTACTAATTACTTATGTAAATCTTTAATTTTCTATGATATTTCTTGAACTTTTTATCTGTACAAGTAGAATGTTCTTATGCTCTGACTCACATCTTTTGTAAATAAAATATTTTTAAATATATTATAATAGAAACATGCTGTAAAAATTTTAAATATTAGAATAAGTAATGATCGCATAATGAGAATTATTTTTTCCATCCAAATAATACTTTGTAAAACAAATCTAGCAGGAGAAAGTTAAGAAAATCTTAGATCCCATGTGCTTTGCTACCCAAGATAAAGCTAAGGTTGGCAAACGACTAATAAGATTGCTGTTTATTTTCTTAGTGGTATATATGATTGTTTGTCTCCACAGTTAAGAAAAATACAAATATGCAAAAATTATCTTTAAAAGAAGCATCCGTTTGACCCTCTGCCTGTCTGTATTATATATTCACAAATTTACCTACGTATGAGTCCGTACATCAAGAATATTTTGAATTATCAACAGTAGTCCTGTAAGATTTTGTCAATTCGTAAATTTTTACCACAGTTGAACACAAATTTTTACTGTAGTTTGCAGTAGTTTTTATAAAATGTGTGAAATTCATCCTGAATTAACCACTAACACTAGATTTGTTATACTTAAGTGCTTCAAGCGCTCTGAGTGACCCAAGAGTCATTGAGGTGTATACCTGTATTTATGGCCAAGACGGTGAATATAGATACACGCCTCAGTAGTTGTAGGGTTGCTCGGAGCGCACGGAGCACCTTGGTCGAACGAATCTATGATTTACCGTAGCAATGGTAAAATTTTCCCTGAAAAGAGCAATAGCTGTAGAATCATGTGGGCTGGAGGAGGAGTTCAAGTAGTCGTTTACTGCAGTTGACTACGAATTTGAGGTTCCAAAAATTAAATAGGTAATCAACGCGACGACCCTGCCCTCAATTCGTTCCCAACGCGTCATGGGCTCATGCACCTCTCTTCTCCCTCTTACACACATATATACTCACTCAATCATGCCTCACACGCATTCAACTTTTGTTATTGTCTTCGGTCCCTCTCTCTCTCTCTCTCTCTCTCTCTCTCTCTCTCTCTTCTTGTTTTATAGACCTTATAGTCCGCAGCACCGAGAATACACATTAGGAATGTGTTACCCCGATCAGAAACCTTAGTGGGGTGCTGATGGGGTCCACACTAGGCTGCCAAATTAACCACAGGTGGTCCTAGAATGGCATCGTCATGGGGCGTAGATGTGGTCGTCTCTAGTGTGCCCCAATAGCAAAGAAAGTTTACCTAACCCTTTGTATTTTTTGTGTAGATATCATTACATTTAATACAATTATCATAAGAGCATGTACCTGATTTACCATGTGTGGTATGCAGTTATAGAGTTTATCGGCCGTGCAGATAAGGAAGAATTAAATTACGGTCACATATATTTAACCCAAACACAGAAATATATATTATTTTCAACAGCTTTGGCTAGGTTACTGGGGCAGCCTATGATGGACCCTTAATTCATCAAGTAACGCGCCTAATGGGGTACCACCTAGGTAGCCTAAGGGGGGCCTGATTAACTAAGGTGGCAAACCTGTTAAATTTCTGATCGGGATAAAGATATATATATATATATATATATATATATATATATATATGTGTGTGTGTGTGTGTGTGTGTGTGCGTGTGAGTGTGTGTGTGTGTACACATATATGTATGTATTATTATAGCTTTAGCTACCACGTTACAGTTGTTTATAAGTTTCTTACGAATATTCCCAAGAATTTTCGAGGAACGCCATGGTCTTTAAAGCTCATGAAGTCTCTCCCCTCCCCTCCTCCACAAAAATTAAAATTATTTAATTATGAAAACATTGATAAACCATAAATTTATTAACTTCATCTTACTTTAGAAGAAATATATTCGATTCAAAAAACTAATACCTGGGACACTGCCAACTTATAAAATAAATACATATTTTGAAAGTTAAGGTGTCGCTCAAATTTAGAGAGTAGATTAGATGAGCATAAACGTGATATTAATAAAAATGATATAGGTCAGTTCTAGCTAAACTTATTATAAGCTCATTTCATGGTTTTAATTTTGTTAAAGGTAAGATTCTAGACAGAGAAATTAATACATTTATACCGGGATTTTCCGAGTTTTACATCACACATCTTATCCTATTTATGAAAAATACACGGTGTTAGGAATTTGTTCTTAACACTTTCTTTAGTAATAGCTTTTTATCAGATACTTTATACTTTTTCTATTTTTAATACATTTTCTTTACCCTAGATCCCTTCCATTCCGTTTTATTATTCTTCGATGACCCACAATCTAACTGAAACTAGGTACGTAGTCTATGGTCGAGAATCTTCGAAGTTTGCAGAATTAGTTATTTACTTTATATAGTTGTATAAGCCCTGTTTGTCCGTACTTACGATTCTAATTAAAGTAAGATGTTGTTGAAAGTTCTATTGCGCATATCAGCCATTCAGTGAGTATGCAGTATGGACATATTTCAAAACGCGGGTGGCCGGGGCACCCAAAAAATTTGATTTTGAAACGTTACAAAATTACAGAATTCGGCGCCCGTCTTTCGTTACCAATTATGTGTGTGAAATAGCCAATGAAAAAACGGCTGAACAGATCTGCACTCCTGAAAATTCGTACTCGATATAAGTAACCGTGGTAAATTTTTGTTTATTAATTTTGTTGCAAAATAGAGATAAGTAAAAAAGATTTACTTGAGTGACTCTATTTCGAAGCTTCAAACATATCTGGAATAGGCAGAGCAGTGATGATGACGATATTGATAAGGATGATGTCGTTTTTTAAGTATTTTTGAAAAAAAAAAAAAATGTGTAGCAATACCAATACGTGAAGTACCGGCTGTAAATTTTTCATATGTTATTAATGATTTTAGTGACGAAGATTTTCGTAAACATTTTCAAGTATTACGTCAAACCCATCACTTCTCATTGGAAAAAACTGGTTGCTTTTTACAACGAAAAAATAATCAAGGAAAACCTATGATTGTTAAAAGATTACAACTATTAGTTGCTTTGTGATTTTTTACTAACTATAAGCCCTGCGAATCATAGTACATCACATCCCTGTATAATAGTACATAGTACATTACATCCCTAGGCTCCAAAGTGTGTACAAACTTGAGCGCCCGAACGGCGTTGTTGTACGTTTGTGCCAGAGTCTCGTATACTGTTTTTCTTACCCAGGCTGAAAAGTACAATTTTGTACCAGTGGACACACTTTACGCCCTAGAGCAGGAAATATTTAAAATTTTTTTTTACTACTATTTTGTAAAATACAGTGTTCACCAATTATTTTTGATACCTAGAGGTCAGTATTGAATTCCAAATAAATATTACTACAGAGTTCAGATCCATACATCGATCACTATATATGTACTTCGTTATATGAGAAATAAATATATACATTGACCTAGGGACCTTTATGTAAACATCCAACAGTTTTATAATTCATACGAATTTCCAGGGACAGTTGGAGCTGTGAACGGAACCCACATAAATATTCCGTTGTACCCGAGGTAATAGTGCTTACTAGATTCAAGAACATTTATTAAAACCTTTTCGAAATAATAGGCAGCTCTCCAACGTACAAAAAAAACTTGAATAAAAAACTATCTAGTACTCAGATGGTAGATGATAGATCAATCAGACTTTTGAAGAACTGCTGAAGTATGATAATGTTGAAATTGACATAACCATTAATTTGGTTCCCCTTTTTTTCATGGGTGTTTTCCGCAATCGTCACCAACAAGTAATTTTAGGATGCGCTCTACTTTACCGTCGGGTCGGTAAGTCAACTACCTTGAATTAACTGGCGCTCTATTCCGTAATCTGGCCAGTAAAAACAGCAGACGGCAGTCAATAGCAATAAAATCTTCACACTTTTCTCAACTTTCACGTCGTCTGCTGTTTTAGCAGGCCAAATTACAGAATAGAGCGCCAGTTAACTCAAGGTAGTTGACTTACCAACCTGATGGTAACGTAGAGCGCAACCTAAAATTACTTGCTAGTGACCATTGCAAAAAACATCCCATGTCTTGCAACGTGCTCCACAATGTTCGTATTCTAAAAAATGACATCTTTGAGATCCACTAATGCAGGATTGCATTTATGCAGAACCCCATAATTTACACATAGTTCTGAATAAAACTATTTCTCGAGTTTCAAAAAATGCAAGATTAAGAAAGTGCAATTTAAATGCAAATCAATTGTATCAAGATTGGTTAAAATATACTTGAAAATGCTTGTCACTGGTTGATTGTTACTAAGCTCACAAATTCATTCTGAATCATATAGCGATTTTATCATTTGAAATATAAATAATTATACACATGACTTTTGAAGTATTAATTTACACGTAATAGTAACTCTTTACTTATAAACTATAATATGATATATTATCAAAACCACAGTGTGTGCAAAAAAATATTTGGGGTATAAATATGCATTTTTGCATCAGTTGATATTTATACTAAAACTATGTATATTTTTGTATCATAATTACAAACCTTGGAAATTTCTAATAGAGTAAAAAACCTAATTCTTATTAATTAGTTGTTCAAGAACATCTAAAAACTTATTTGAATCCTCTTTTTTTCTCTGCAATTCAATTTATTTAAATTTTCAAGATTTCTTCTTTTCATCGATCAATTCAGCAAGGAACTTACTGGTAAGATCACTTTGATTTAACTTATTTTTTGTGATAGTCATTTACAGACTTTTTCAATATTTTCATTACTTAAACTGTTTTCAGAAAAAATTACTGATTCAAAAGATATCCACACTATCTTTTAATAGGTCACCCAATTCCTTGT